TATTAGTTACGCAGGAAGGTGCTGGACAGCGGTATAGGATGAAGGCAAGCGCAGCCAATCGCGTGTACGTCGGTATGTAACAAGACCGAAGAAGGGCGGTGATGAGTCCATGGTGTACACCGCAAACGGATCCTTCCGGTCCTTTTGTAGCTCGAGACTACTAAGACATATGTCGCAAAATACAAATTCTTGACAGCATCGCCGCCTTCAACGGAGATTGAAGCGTACCTTATCTAGCACGCGGCTGATAGGCACAGGTTTCTCGTTCACAAAGGATACTTCGGAGTCGGTTCGTTCGTCTACGAGCGAAGCTCGAGATGCCGGTGGCGAAATCTCCGGATCAGCCGAACGCATCGTCAGCCATTGGGTGACAAGCATACCGAGACAGACTGAACTATGCATTAGCGTGTGTTGACCACAAGGGGCGGATCGTAAACTTACTATCAGCGAGGCACATAAGCAGACAAGCATGACTCATCTTCGCGAAACTCCAGGCGAGAAACAGGCTGTTGTTGCACAAAGTGACAAACAACATGAAGCCGGAGCCAACAACGTTTCGAACCAGCATGACTCGCAGGTTGTTCCGAGAAGATACGGCCCGTCGTGTTCCTTTCATCCAAAGTCGGAGTCTCTGCATCGAGGAGTCACTTGATGTACCAGCAGTGTCGCTTGCGAGACTGAATATCCTAGGTGCCGCTGAGCCCAGTGCTGGTCGAAGCTGCCATACGAAGATTCCCGTGAGAACAGTGTTCATCAGGATGTCCAGCACAATTATCGCGATCGTAGCCGGCCGCTCGATGCCTATCCTGCATTCGCCTGTCTGGTGGTTCAGAATGGCCATTGGGTTGACAAACTGCCATCCCATAATCGCGAGAAAACCACCCGTGACGAAGATCCCTCCGAAGACATACAGCATATCCCTTGTGCGATCCACAAAGGGAGCCCGTACGATATGAACGCGCTCCAGCAAGAAGAGATATCTGTATGTGGTTCAGCATCCGGGCTTTGGGTGAGCGTCAGGCACGAGTAAACACTTACAGTGCTATTTTGTCCGCGCTATACATGGCGATGCAGACTCGTATGGCAGCATGACATTGAGCATCCGTTTGCAACCCCAGTCCAGCTATCTGTATGGCTGTGGCAAATAGAAAGGCCGAGCAGATGAAGCCTTGCGCGAACACGAGTACATCCGACACCCGAGTTTTGGACTTCTGGCCAGCCATGCGGCCTGCTCGATATCCTACCAAACAGTTAGTAAACGTTCTGAGAGACCTCTGGATACGAAAAGGTCAACATGAAATTCGAATGCACTTACCCTGGGCCAACGCGAGAACAAATGCAAACAGAATGCATATGATAATCACTGCCACGCGATGTGGTGGCAGCTCATCCAGGTTAACATGTTTGTGGCTTTCGTCCCGAGTAACAAGGAAAAGCGGAGACATTGGCTGCGCAGCCACACCAGCGATGGGGATTTGCGCAAAAGCAAATAATATCGCAAAGGTAGAAGATCGCATCAACGCTGCCAAGGTGTCCGTTGAGACATGGGGAGTGGTCTCACGACATATAGGTTCACGAAGCGAGCTCTGATCAAGTGTTCAAACTAATTTGCGTATTACGCCGTGGCAAGACTTCTCACTCAACGTCAATCAATCACAACACGGTATATCCTCGATCTATCGGATCGTAGGGCAATATGTCAAGGGCTAGCGCATCAGTGGACGAGTCACCGCTAAAGCTTACTTCAACGGTTCCGACGAGGGGAAGCTGGAGACAACTCCGTAGCGCCGAGCTGGCACCCCGTAGCGAGCCTTCCACGCGCTATGGTGCGGAGACGTTGCGCTACAGCCCTACTACTAGACACCGTTGGGCTCTAGAAGTCTTGATCCGCTGGAGAGTTTTGACCGCTGCTTCATGAGATGCAGAAGTCGCTTCAGCCACATGTTTGCGCCTCCAAAACGACCACCGTGAAGGCTCTGGTTTCCAAATACCATGGTGGCATCTGAACGAGGCTATGCGCGTAAGCTTACGGCGACGAGCTCCGGAGATTCCAAGAGGCTTGGATCTCGGGTTGGGAAAAGGACCGGATGCCGCACGCCCCGGGCTTATCATCCAGGGCTGATACAGAGAGAACCTTGGAACCTTGGAAACCTTCGGGACGCGCCCTTATCTCTGGACCCTCAAGATGTCCAGCAGCCATGTCATCCCGTAGTGGTAGCCTTCGTCATCGTTGGTTTCCGCTAAGTTCTCTCACATGTTATGGCTGTCGTTCCGACTCCACCTTGGCTATGTCACGATGCAGAACAGACATCGTGTAGTGTATGTTCTCCTAGGTCGCTCCACTCGTTTTGCTTCCCAATAGACTAACTAATCAAGTGTTTGCAAGCTGCAATAGGGTTTCGGCCTTCTTTTTGGGCGTGCTCGGACGAAGAAGACCGGGATATCTGGAAGCCGTCAGAGGTGAGCGAAGGGTCTACCATGTACCCCTCAAGTATCTTCTGTAAATTAAATCAACCGCCCAAGCCCTTTTAATGGCCCTGGGCAGAGACATGTAATCTTGCCAACGGTGCTAATAAGGAACGACAAGCCCAGCCTCCCCTATCGGCCGTACCCTTCACTGCGCTGGGAATTTACCTGCGTAATACCTATATTCAGTTAATGTTGTCCCACGAATGAGAAGTCTGAGAAACATCTGTAGCAATCACTATGTATCCTTCGACCGTGGCCGCCGCCTTTGTTACTTATTGGACAAAGACAAATGGGTGGTGATCATCTGTGACTGAAAGTCGTCTCCATGGCTGGCACGCGATGTACTGAGCAAGGTAGTATGGTCGGTAGACGAGAGCAGAACGCAGATACAGCGGAGCTAAAAGCAGCAAGTGTCACGTAGCATACCGTTATGTGTTAGCATGGAGCGCAGGTGAATATGCGTACAAGGGTTAGTGTTTGTTTGGTCTATGTAGAGTACCTTGCTGTACATGGTCGCGCTTCGCTTGGAACGTAACTGCAAGTGCATACCCGTGGGCTGCCTCTCCACTACCCTAACAGAACTTCTCCATCGTCCATGACCTCAAATCAGACTCTGAGCCTTCCCTACCGATAGCCATTGGCTCGATCGATGTCCGAATCCGTCAGTCGTCCTTACAAGAATCGTGTATGTTGGGCAATGCTGAGGTTTCATTGTACCAACAGGCGAATGGAAAGACGCTCGCTCACTCGGTCTACCAGCCAGAAGAAGTATTGGCATCGGCAGCTGCGGTAGTGTCGTCAGCCCAGTTGCCGCTCGACTCAACCGGAGTATCACCCCAACCGCCAGCCGCAGCGGTCGAGCCACCGGCATCGCCCCAGTCACCGCCGGCAGCCTCAGCAGGAGGCTCAGGGCAACGCTTCTCGCCATGACCGAAGTTGTTGCAGTTGCGGCACTTCACGCGGGACCAGTCACGAGGCTTGGGGCACTCGCGAGAAGCATGACCCTCCTCGTCGCAGTTACGGCACTTCATGACACGAGGCTTGTCGCACTCGCGCGACATATGACCCTCATCTCCGCAGTTGTGGCATGCGCGACCAGGACCACCAGCCATGGGCTTACGAGGCTGAGTGCACTCCGTCTTGCGATGTCTGTTAAATGTTAGCTTGACACTCCAAAATGATCGACAAGAGTTCGACTTACCCAGTCTCGCCGCAGTTGAAGCAGGCTTGACCACCAGAGCCCTGAGGACAATCGCGCTTCTGATGACCCGTCATACCACAGCCGAAGCAGGCACGATCGCCGCCACCGCCACCTCCACCAGAGGGGCAGTCACGCTTTTGATGGCCAGTCTGACCACAGCCAAAGCAGGCCCGATCGCCGCCACCGCCGCCGTTGTTGTTGTAGCTGGTAGTGTTTGCAGTAGAGAAACCACCCGCAGAGCCCCAACCGTCATTGGCAGTAGTCGTAGCGCCGCCGAAGGTGTCACCACCAGAGCCGAACTCGTTGTTGGCGTCAGCAAACTCGTTGGTGCCGCTGAACTCGTTGCCACCACCGAAGCTTGTAGCGTCACCGCCGAAAGTACCAGCTGGGTTCTTGGCCTTCTCTAACTCTTCGCGCTCTTTGGCTTCGGCCTCCCGGTGCTTCTTGGAGTTCTTGTGTCCGTTCCAATCCTTTGTGAGGATCTCGCGGTCGCAGAGCTCGCAAACGGAGATACGAGCAACATGCTCCTTGGCCTTGGGGTATGGGTTGGATACCATGGTCGAATACAGATTAGCCGGACCACGAGCCATGATGAGGACTGTGGAGGATGTGAGAGAGGTGAACTAGACACAGTTCGTTAGCTTTTTGCACTCCAGAGACGGCAGCAGTGCAGTGAAGCGCGACAGACGTCGGTCGAGCGCCTAGAGAATCCAGGCTGGAAGCAGCTTGAAGCTCGCGGTCTGCGCGCGACGCGTTCAAAACTGAGTGTGCGCACTTGCAAATTTGCGGAGCAGGCTGACTGGGCCTGGAGACCAACGTGTGAATACGCCAGAGGTGAGAGGAACTTACCTTGTATGAGCAGAGTATGCGTCGCAGGCGGTCGACAATGAGGTGACTGTCTCTTGATCGTACAATTGGTCCCGCACGTCGTCGCTGGTGAGGTGGGGTCGCAGGAGTGGAGGTGAGAGCGTGGGAAATTTTATATAGGCAGGCGCGAGGCAGTGGACCCTGCACCAACGACAACAAACAGACGAAGCGAGACCGGGTAGGAGCCGAGTGATACAATGGAAGACGATGGAAACAGTGAGAGAATCGCGATGATGACGCTAGCATGCATGACGGGTACCTGCGCAAGAAATGACCGGGCGCCGGGAAATCTCACGGTGAGAGATCATCGTGAAGTCCAGTAGACGTAGAAAGTGATGGGTAGGTGAGAATTGAAAAGAGAAAATTAGCGCTTAAAGGCAGTCCTTGCACCATAGAATGATGAGTGTTGACCTGGCTATGCATAACAGAGAAAGACAAAAGATAGCTGTACTGGACGTTGAGCTCAAGCACCTGCAGGCATCCCGTCTTCGACTTCCACCTCCTCTTCCGCTCTTTGACCCTCACTCTTTTCCGGCTCTTTCCATCCTGTACCGGCCTGTACAACCACGACGATGATGGAGAGTCCTACGGCACAAAGGAACAGTGCCTTGAGTGCATCCGCGTATGCCCCGACGGCGACGACCCTGTCCTTGCCTTCCAGCTTACCTACAAGTGCTGGACTCCCTAATAGTCTCCGAGTGAGTTCACCGCGATTCTTCAACCCAGCCTTCGCGAAGCCGTCATCCAGAGATTTGTGCAGTACGCGAACGAAGTAGCCACCGCCAATAGCCGAACCGAAAGAGCCTGAAAAGCCGCGGAACGTAGCAAGGAGAGAGATGACGATCGGGTGCACCTCCGGGAGTGTAAGATGGAGCAGATGGACAAGTGCGTAGTTCGTTGCCGCGCCAGTGACAAGTCCGTTGAGGAACACCATGGCAACATATAGACCCCACGGACTTGTTGGTGTAGAGATGAGAGCCAGAACAGCCATAGTGATTGGAAACAGTGCCATCGCAACGACGGTATGAAGGTAGAAGCTGCCCGTGCGTTTGATATGAAAGACGCCAGCAAGAAGACCACCGGTTGCAAAGCCGGCGTTAGTGGGAATGAGGATTGATCCAGCGACAGCCGGAGCCCATCCCCGAACGGCAAGCGCATATACGGGCGTATAGAAGAGGATACTCCAACGGGCCATCATGAAGCCAGTCGTGCCAAGGCAGGTCAACAAAGTTCCACGAGATCGTAGAACGGAGACTGGAATGACGGGATCGCCAGCGACGTAGGCCTCGTTGAGAACGAATACTGGAAGAGCAAGAGCCGAGAGAATGATCGGCGTTGGAAGAACCTTTGGGCCAGATAAGCCTAGAAGGAAGAGTACAATGGTGGTGGTCAAGAGCAGAGCTCCGGAGTAGTCGATGCGGGCTAGCTTTTCGCGGATCGAGAGATTCTCATACTTGATGTTCTTTGAAGTATGGCTTGCTGGAATTGAAAAGAGGAGACCTAAACCGGCCACGAAGCTTATTGGTGCCTGTATGCCGAACAAAGGTTTCTGTGATTGTGTTAGTCGAGCACACTAGATCTCGTCATCTGATAGTGTCCACTTACCCATCCAATTCTAGGCTCAAGCGCGCCCGCTATGACCGCTCCAAGTGAGACACCGACTGTCATTGCAGTGTTTGCAAGGCCCATATACAAGCCTCTTCGTTTAGGGCTGGTCATCTGGATCGCCATGATGCTAGCAACGATGAAAATGCCACCGCCACCAGCTCCAGTTACAACGCGGCCGATGATAAAGTGCTCGAAAGACACAGATGTGGATGTAATGGCCGATCCAATGGCTATCAACATAGTGGAGAAGAACATGCATAACCGCGGACTAAACACTTGACATAGCCGTCCCATCAAAGGAGCGAGAGAAGACATGGCGATGAGATACGATGAAGTAAACCAGCTGGCAGTTTCGAAGGCATCTAGATCAGCGGCGATAGACGATTGGGTCGTTGTAAGGATAGATATGTTCGTAGCTGTCGTGAAGGTTAGGTCATGTTTGTGGAACTTTGATAGAACATGACTTCTGTTAATTTGCCACCATTCTCATGCATAGATGAAATTGTACGTGATCGAAGACGGGATTCTATGGTGACGAGGCGGGGAGATATTGGAAGACATACCTTGCAAAAATATCAAGAGACCCACAGAGCCAACTATAAGTGCGCCTCTCGACGTTGAAATGGCTTGTTCATCATCTTTGCCCTCCCTATTCGATAAGGCCGGCGATATCGAAGGCTGGAGCAGGGGCTCGCGTTCTGCCGAGGTATTCAAAACTGTCATGACATACGACTCCCAGTACAATCTCAAATGATAAGAAGACTGCTATCCAGCGATAATGAAAGAGAGAGACTTCGTGTAGAAACGCGTCTGGAAATCATGACGATACGTGCAAGGATGTTAGTGCTTTCCGCCGATGACAAATGCAGAAAGAGGTCGGTTGCACTTGCCCGAATGCTTTCGTCCGCAAAGACAGCGGAACAAGCGACGACGGTATGAAGCAAGCGCGCTGAGTATCAGTTGCAAGTAGATACTTGGACGTCGTTTACGAATCGAAGCGGAAGGCCCAAGGCGACGTTGCAGCGCGTGAACCTGTGACATGAGTGACGTCAACGCTCATTGGCTGCGGGAGCCACGCATCGGGGGCGCAACTGCCACCCCGGCCGTGATAGTGGAAAGCTGGCCTCTCCAAACAACCTCACCACGACTGCCTACACGTAGTCGCGCCTCTGCTTCCGCCCTCCCGAGATGACGCCATGAGTTTCTTTCTTCGCATCACTTTGAATTTCGACATATACCCACAATGAGGCCACAGCTACAGCGGCGTGTGCCGCTTCTCTTCGGTACGCACCTGCGCAGGCAACGTAGGAAGCTTCTGACTGACTTGTAGACCCGCAGTTCTTCTCTCACTATTCTTATGCGTTTCTTCGGACCAAAGCAAGGAGGCCTGGAAGTCAAGATGGGGGAACACAGAAGGAGGCGCGAATCCACATCAGGGCGTACTGGCCTTCAATGAGGGCACGACGCTTCTACACACGATCAGACCGGCTGCCGCACCATGGTGGAACTTTGATAAGAAGTCTGGCATCCTGGGTACCAGCGCGTACTACGCGAAAGAGGTCTTCTTCCTTCTCTTCATGAATGGCCCCCCACAGCAGGAGCTGTTGACGACAAACCCACAACCGAAGCAGCTGGGGCATTCTCTGTCACAAGCTGTCACCCTGCTGGAAGAGGCAGCGGCTCAAAAGAATCCCGACGCCATATTCACCCTCGCCGAGATGAACTTCTACGGCAATTACACGCATCCGCGCAACTACTCCGAAGCCTTTCGGCGATACCACGAGCTCGCGATTTTGAACGGCAATGCATCGGCACAGCACATGGTTGGCTTCATGTACGCGACCGGCATTGGTGGAGCAGTCAAGCAAGACCAGGCAAAGGCTATGCTATACTATACCCTGGGCGCAGAAGGCGGAGACGTGCGGTCAGAGATGGCTGTTGCGTACAGGCACTCGGCAGGCATCTCTACTCCGCGTAACTGCGAGGAGGCTGTGCACTTCTACAAAGCGGCAGCGGAGAAGGCTATTGCATACATGCGGTCTGGGCCACCTGGTGGCCACTCTATGCCGCGGGAGTCTTACAACATCGCTGACGATCAAGGTGGCGTGTATGGCGAAGGCGCGAGTACAAGCAGCTCCGGGCCCAACGCCAAAGTCGCCAGCGCTCAGTCTGATGCCTTTTCCTCCCTCGACGACGTTTTCGAATACATGGATCTCCAGGCCCGGAAGGGTGATGCCAGGGCCACATTCAATCTTGCCAAGCTGAACTACGATGGCGCACGAACTTTGAAGCGCGACCTTCCAGCGGCCAAGAAGCGCTTCATGGAGCTTGCGCGCATGTACTGGCCGCAGAACGGAAAGCCCAATGCGAACGTGTCGCCTACCGTCGAGAAGCTGGCCGCGAAGGCCGCCGGCTACCTTGGTCGCATGTTTCTGCGCGGTGAGGGCATGCCGCAAAGTTTCGAAATTGCAAGGTTATGGTTCCGACGTGGCTTGGACTTGGGCGATGCGCTGTCGCAATACTCCATGGGTATCATGTACCTGAAAGGCCTCGGTGTACCTCAAGATGCCGTGAAGGCTGCTGAGCTGTTTGGCGCGGCTGCCGACCAGGATTTGGCAGTCGCACAAGTTCGACTAGGTGCGCTCTTCTTGGATCAGGGGGACATCGCCGTCGCCGCCAAATACTTTGAACTTGCCGCTAGGCACGGACACCTTGAGGCTTTCTACTACTTGGCTGAGATGACGCACAATGGTATCGCTCGATCCAAGTCCTGTCCTTTGGCGGCCACCTATTACAAGATCGTAGCAGAGAAAGCCGAACTAGTCTCTACATCTTTCCCCGAAGCTAATGAGGCGTATGCGAATGGTGACCTAGAGACCGCACTCGTAAGCTACATGATGGCAGCTGAGCAAGGCTTCGAGGTCGCACAGGCCAACGTGGCCTACCTCCTTGATCAAGTCAAGCCTCGTTTTACATTCAACTCGCTTGTGCCCTTTATGAAGCAAAAGGCCTCGCTAGCTAGCGACGCATTTCTGGCTTTGGTATACTGGACGCGCTCTGCCGAACAGAAGAACGTCGATGCTATGGTCAAGATGGGAGATTATTACCTGATGGGTCTCGGAACACAACCTGATTCTGAAAAAGCTGCGGCTTGTTACCAAGCCGCAGCTGAGACCATGAGAAGCGCACAAGCCATGTGGAACCTGGGTTGGATGCATGAGAATGGCATCGGCATTGACCAAGACTTCCACCTCGCAAAGAGACACTATGATCTGGCTCTGGAGACGAATCCACGTGAGGCCTATTTGCCTGTCGTTTTGGCACTGTACAAGCTTAGGTTCCGGAGTTGGTGGAACACCTTTACAAACGGCAACATCAAGTCCATCCAAGAAGATCCCGGTAAGTCATCGTCCTTTGAATCTTTTTAAATGTCTGGATGCTAACATGGCTATAGTCGTCAAGAAACAATGGACACTCTCGGAGTGGCTGAACGCCTTTCTCGAAGCCGAACTCGCTGGCTGGGACGACTACGAAGCTGACGATTACGACGACACGCATACTGCCGGCGACGACTTTTACGGAGACGGCTATCATGGCGACGAGATTGATTCGGACATTCTGGAATCACTCATCATCTTGGCCCTAAGCGGGGCTTTGGCCTTCCTGCTTTACTACAGAACACAAAGGCAAAGAAGACAGGAGGAAGAAAGAAGACGGCAACAAGAACAGCAGCAACAGCTGAATCAAGGTGTGCCTGTGCAACAACAGCAAGCGCAAGGACAACCGCCACAGGATAGGGGAATGTTCCCAAATCCAGGCGATCCTGAATTCATGAACTGGGTAGCAGGTGGCGTAGGACACTGATGCATTGTTAGGAGGTGGTGTTCAGGAAGTCGATGAGCAATGACGAGTCAGAACCAAATGAAACAAGGAGAGTTCTTCGGCATACGCATCCTGCATCACTTAACTGCATAATGAGATCCCGACCTAAAACTCTGGAACGTACTCGCCTTTCATAAGTTCGGAATGCTTTTCATTCGACACGATTCTTTTGGACGAACCATTGCTTGGGCTCCGCGAGCACCTTTGGGTGTCCACGTTCGGGTGTTGGTAAGTCGGAACCGCTGGTTCGCCAGGGTTCGTTCGAAGTGGTCGTCTCCACATCTAACCACGATTTCGTACAGGTATGAGATGAGTTATGGGGGCTGTGAATGGCTCGTCTTAAATGACCCATCGCAGTGTCATGGTTTATCTTTGTATAAATCACCCACATCACGATACAAATCAGAGGGAAAAAGCACATTTTATTTGAGTGAATCATCGAACGCATTGCTCCGCAGCGTGGCCAGTAGACTCAACGAAGTTTCTCACATTTGATCACCCCCTAACAAACCGGAGCTCCAGGTGTTATAAATTCCTCCTGGGCTCACTCGCCACACCAACTCCCACTCCAGGTCGCTCAGTAACATTATCAAGATGCCAGGAATTCACATTTCAAGCGGTCTGGAAGCAGACTTTGCTCGTATAATCACCGAGGTCGATATTGGATCCAGTCTCAGAAACGTCTTTCGACGCAAGCAGAAGCAGAGATTACCATGCCCGAATACTCTCGAAGAACTTCGCAAACTCGTCGACACGGACGACTCCAAACCGGTGTGCCGCTGCGATCAGTGTGATCCACGACTTTATGAATCCTACTGCAATTGCATCCTACGTCTTCACCATCACCCAAAACTCAAGTTCAAGGGTGCCGCAAACGAATTTGGATATCAATGCTACGAGCCCTTAACGATGGCTTCGCGTTTCCGGAGCGAAGCGATGACATTGACGAGAACGGCAGTACGATACTTCGACCGACCCGTCGACACACTCAATACCACACAACTCACCGCCCTGAATAACATTCAAACCTGGATACAACACTACGTGTCGCTGATTTTCCCCAACACACCAGCTGGGTCACCTGCCAGTCTCGACGAAGTCTTTCCCATACCCTCGATCCGCGACCTGTGGACGCAGATCAACGTCCTCTTCTTCGGCTCTGACATGTTCTACCGCAAATCCAAATTCCGTTGGCTCACTGAGTTTCACATTCAGTATCCAGACGTGAT